AAACCCTAATATACAGTCTAGTTACATTCTCAAGGCTAGCGAACAGAAGCAAAGAGTTAACATGTACAAAGCCACAACTTACCAATCTCAGATTACAACTTCACCAAAGGAAACTGCCCTTGGCCTTGAGATTTCATATGTCAATGGAGGGAGAAGGAGCTAACTATATACCTGACATGACTGTGCTGTTTTCATGAGAAGAAGTGACTAGTGTTAGAAATGACTTGAAGGGTTACCTACACTAGCCCCTCATGGAGAAAGTGATAATTGCATTTGTGGCTGTGAGAGTCTTAGGATTCCCCACTTTGCTATGACATTATGGGGTCTTCCCAATACACTAAGTTCTGAGAGCACAGGCTTCTTTTGTCCTCAAAATTTAGCACATAGAAAGTCCTCAAAAAATACTTAGGTATTTATTCTGGAAATAAGTATCAACATATATAAATACTGGCCATGGCACTATGTATTTGTCAACTGGGTCTAAGATAAAGCTGACGAATTGTTCTACTGATTCATGAAAAAATGTGAAACACCAGAAATTTTGCATTTTTTAGGTGCTAACAGCTCGGCAGTCAATTGTTCTGTTTTAGCTCCAGTTTTGTGTCTGCAATTCAGAGGAGTTCTACATGCCAGGGAAGGGAAGAGTCCTTGATTTTCCATTCTGCATGACGTGCAAGAGCACATCCACTTCTCTAAGCGTGGTAAAATGGGGCAATAAGCACTAGTCATGAGACCACATCCTAGCAGCATCTGAGATACTTTCCAAAATTTCTCTTTAAACCAAAAGGCAAAACAATGAGATGGATAAGAAATGAGAAAAATTTTTGTCTCCCCATCCTACTTCTAGAGCTCTCTTCTACAGAATTTAAGTCTTTGGACAGAGAATAATCTATCCTGAAATTATAACATTCTAATTACGATTATTTTATATTATGTTTTTTTGTTTTCAAAGCACTGTCATGAAATCATACCCTGTGTCCTTCATAATACTGCCAAGATGATGGCCATGACAGAGGTTACCACTCCCATTTTACAGAAAAGGGAAGCTCAGAGTTTGACAGGCTCAAGTCACAATGCTGTGACTATATATTAGTGTGTGGGTGAGAAGGATGCAGGGGACTGGGTGCAGGGGAACAATGAGGTCTTAAACTCAAAGCAGTCAGTAAGTCAGCAGTCTGAAAAATATAAATTCCTTCAAATTTCTAAAGATGAATTTCTTTGTGGAGTTCCTCTTAGGAGGTTGTTAGATGTATAAGTTCATATGAACATCATGATAGCAAAATCCATTGAATCTTAAATCACAGTGAGTATTGTAGTTCGAGCATGTAGAAAACCAAAGAACTTAGAATCTTGCTTAAAACATCCTAATAGAAAACATGCGTGGCATCCGGACAGTTCACAGCAAGGATACTAATACAACTCTGCCACAGACAGACAATACGGCTCACTGCACTCAAAGGCACAACGCACTCTTGTCCATCACAGAACCACAAGTCACAGCAAAACCAAAATACAACAACAACAACCCCTCCTGGGCCTCCACTGAAATTCTCACCTCTACCCCTTCCATGGCAGGCTGAACCAAAACAAAAATTACAGCATGAAAAAAGCAACAAAAAGGTAAAAAGAAAAGAAAAGAAAATATAAACTGTTCTTCACATTGCAAGTCATAAACTGACTTTTAATAGATTGTTCTCACCTCAAACTGACAGAATGGAGACAAGGAACATCTCCCGCACTCTGAAATGCTTTCCTGAGGATGGGGAGGAAAATCATCTTTTTCTATTTATGTTATTTACATAAAAACTTCCCAAATACTCATACACAGCAAGGATTATTGGGGTAAACAAGACAGTAAAGACAATTATCAGAAAGCACACAGTAATAAACAAATGCTCAACAGCAAAAAATACACCTTTCACCCTTCAGATGTCAAACAGCCCTTCTGATAGTATTGAATACTGTAATTCTTCCCTATATCATGTTTTAAAAAGAGGAAATTTGGAATTCTTACCTAGGGGGAGAACTGTAAGAACTCATTGCATGCAAATACATTTTAAGAACTGGTTTCTTCAGAGTGAGTGATTTTAGATTTTATGTAGTGCTAAGACATTTAAGAAAAATCTTTGCAGTTAAAGTCGAAATAGTAACAGGAGGTATAAGCCCCATCAATTAGCATGTCTGAGACCCCCACACAGAGCAACCCACAGGCCATGATACCACACTCCAGATACCTGGTTATCTTGTGAAGCTCTGTGTGTGTACATATGTGCATGTGTACAGACATGTCATAAAAGTTGGTCCTGAGTTCTTGCCTGTAAGTTTGATACGTAAAAGACAAACCTTCCTAAAATGACAGTGCAAAGCTCTGTTCATCGAGGTACCTGATGTTAAAAAAAGGCTTTTAATTTATTGTTTAGTCAACTCTTAAGCATGTTTTCAGTTACAGTTTCTCAATCAGACTATGTTACTTAGGGATTCTACCAAATAGTAACAAACTAACTTTCAAAGACCCATTACCAACCCTATGTAACTTCATAAAAATGATCACAGCTTAAGAACAGAAAGGCAGCTTGGCCCTGGGCTGAGGTGATGAGGCTGTAGCCACAATGCCTTTGAGCCCCACACTGTGGCCTGATCTCAGATATACAGCCTCACGCACACAGTAGGACACACCCAGGGAATACACTATTGCTGTGATCAACATGTTTCAGCACGAGCTCAAGTAATTCCCAGTATCAAGGCTCCAACTGCCCCACCTCCAACTACCCTCCAAGTAACAGATTTCTGTAAAAAAGTTCATGAATATTTTTGACACAACTGAAATTATTCATCTACCCACTAGCTTTTTAAATATTTATTCTAGAACTATGTGTTTCAGAGGATTAACTACTTATTATAAAAACAAATAGAAAGTATAAAGCAGAAATACCTAACAGATGTGAGATGGGTACTTGCTGGGGCTTTTAAAATACACTCTGCTCTCCCCACCAAGATTTTCTGACTTTTGCCCTGCATATATAAATGACAAACCTTCCAAGAGGTCACGGATGGCATAACACTCCTAAAAAAGTTTAAAATCTTGGTTTAGTTTTGCTGTTTAGTTGGTTGTTAGAAGCAGCAGTAAACAAGACTTACATAAACAAAAACACCTCAACACAGAATGGTCAAAATAAAGCCAAAAAGAAAAAAGAAACAGCATCCAACAAATAGGCACAGGAGGACAAAGGCTACATTAATTATGCCCCTGAAGAGCTACAGGAATTCCCTTCTCAGGATGCTGCTATACAATTTCACCAGGTGTAATTGGAAATTATGGAAACACAATCCCACTTATAGGACAATCATCAACTTACAAAATACTTTAAAAGGATATAACATATACCAATAATATTAAAGTTTAAATGGAAGAATCATTCAATTTTAAGAGAAATTCTAATGACCAACACCAGACACTTAAAATTTAACGAAAGCGGTTTTCCCTCAAAGTCATAAAAATGTGTTTTGTAGTACTGGTCATTTGACTTTTGGCAAATAGTTAGGGTAGGGTAATTGAGGTCTAGAAAACATACTTGCCAATATTTATGGGATGCTTTATTACATTCTCCTTAATGCTTTATTATGCCCTAAAATCTATATTTGTTTTATGAGGCAATGATGATGTAAAGCAATGGAAACAACAGCTGAGGAATGCACCACCATGCAAGCAGCAGCTGCCAAGTACAGTCTAGAAAATACACTTTAAAGCAAACCTAGTAAAATTGAAATACTAATATTTCAAGCCACCCAGAATTCTCATCAACAAAAACATCATATATAAGTGAACAAAAGGGGGATTTTAAAGAAACATAAAAAGAAACATTCAGCAATTAAGACAAATAAAACAAAATGTAATGCTAATAAGATGTGAAACAATATACATGAATTAGTCATATAAAACTAAATTTCTGACCGGTATTTTAATTAAAAGCACTGCTCCAATATTAATAGCGGTAACAGCAGTACACAGCAGGCTTGCCCTTCCAGAAACAAACAAGCCACTCACGTTTCCGTCGCTCCTCTGGCCCCTTTATGGGTGAGGACCACCACTTCCATCCACTTTCGCAGATGTTGCTGTTGGGAAAAATACACCCTTAGACATTTCTTCCTCACATTAAGAAACATTTCAATTCAAAATGCTACTTTTAGGTAAAAACTCATATGCATCATTAATTCTATTCATATTTAATGTGAGAATGGTGGTGATTTCTATTATTCTAGTCCAACTACCAAACTATTGATGAAGGTAACTGGCATTTTATGTTCTGTAAACAGAATGGTTGGATTTACCCCGGTGAAACAGAAAATGTCCTGAAACCTGTCTATTGCCATGTCAGGATTTTCTCTACTCTGTAATTTGCACTGTAGATGTTCAATAAGAGGTTGCTCCATGGTTAAACAGTCTTGGGAATTGATGATTGAAAGAGGTCTTCTCTGTCCCTTTAAGTCCTGACAGAGTTTATTAATAAACTTTCAAGAGGGAAATACAGTAAGTTGTGTTTTGCAAATGAAGTGTTCAAGGAGCACCCGTATCTTGCAAACTCAATGTTCCAAGGAATACACATTGAAAAACATGAAAACAATACACATTTCTTCAAAGAAGCCACGTACTAGCTAATAATGTCTTACCAAAAATTCCTTGAAGAATATTAGTCATCACAACATAAATTCGTGAAACCTAATCTTACTACATATTTAAAGATATGAAAGGAACACAATTACAAGTGCAGAAAAGTCAGTGGCATCACTTTATTCTGCTCTTAAATCTCCCAAAGGGAAAATTAATGCTAATTCATTTTAGTTCAATAAGGCTATATCCAAAACAACTGACATATAAGAGACTTAAAGACCAAATTGCAAGCTGTTACAATTCTAAAAAAGAAAATGTTCAGGGTTATTAACATAAGTCCACTATATATGGTAGTTTTCCTTTAAAATAATGCTGAACACTTGAGCTATTAAACTCAAAAGTCTATTTTATGAGGGAAAACAAAGGTCCCAGTGGTGGAGCACAGTTCTAAAGAGCATGACTAACTCAGAGCAACGTGCCCTTAATCACAGTACCAGGCACAGAATAAGTCAGGAAATCCCATACACTCAACACAAAAGCACCAATGATACAGGTCTGGGTAGGCTCAGTCAGATGGGTGTCAGGTTTTAGTGGCTGCACAACAGCAGCTTCAGCCATCAACACTGATTTTAGAGGATATTCCACCACTCAGAAAGTAGCTATAATGCAAGAGAAGGAAAAAAAAAATCCCCTAAATAAACCAGAAAGGGAAGACAACTCTTAGCCTACTCATTAACTATAGACTACAAAGCAGTTTTTTTTGTAAGGTTGTAAAAATTTCCCAAGTCAGAGACTGGAAGTTATAAAACACACCACCCCCACGCACACACCCCCACGCACACACACCTCACACACACACCCAAAAACACACCAAAGTTGTTTCAGGCAGGAATGCAAGTGCAGTAAGAAATAACAGGTGAAAGGAAAGAGACAGGCTAATCTTAAAAAAAAAAGTAATGAAAAGAAAAACATCAGGACATTGAGAACACATGCATGGATTTCATACATGAAAGCTATAGTTATAATATGATTGTGTATATGACGTCAGAGTGTACATTTCAAGTGCTCCAACTAAGAAGTGATATAATTTCATTTATTTTAACTATACTTGTGAATGTCTATACACATGTAAATTGGTAGGTACGTGTATATGCTATATATACTAGAACCGTAAAATGAAGTAATCTTCCAATTGGGGAAATTCAATTCCATATGAAACTATTTCCCAATTACATTCTATCTTTAAGGTATCACAATTTTTTTTAAAGATTTATTTATTTATGCATACAAGAGCTGGGGTACAGGCCAGCGATACAGGGGGTGAGAGGACTCACCAGAGACAGAGTGGGGAACAGAACAGGCAGACTGACAGAAATACTCTGCTGAGGGGAGCAGCGGGCAAGACTGAGAGGTCTGCTGTGCCATGTAGGTTGCTCCCTGGCAGGCCAGGGATCGAACTGGTGCTGCAGAGGCTGCAGATTGCTGCACAGTGCAGTGTTTAACCCCTTGCGCCACCAGGGAGGCCCATCACTTACAATTTTAAGATCAATCATATTATTATCAATTCCCAGTAGGTATATTGGTCATTTTTCATTTTTTTCATTGATAATTGTCTAAATGGCCAAAGGCTACTTTGAAAACAAACTCATAATATACATATACGTTCACAGTAATATACCATGAAGTCCTAAGTTTGCAAATTATTTACAAGTCTCTATTTACAGACTGCAAAACAAACTTAGCAGTTGAAATTTTCCTTCACCTGCTTATACTTTAATGTTAAACATTGTCAAATGGATCTCTAATTTGTATAATTGCTTCTTTGGTATAATTCTGAAAACCCAAAGGTATTCTAAAGTTCTTATAAGTTTTCACTGCATTACTATCTACAATGGGAATAGGGGGAACAAATTGATTTCATCAGTAGGGGAATGGTTAAATTATGCCATGTCCACATTACAAAAAGCAGCACCTTTCATATGGTTAAGAAATGATGGGATGTTAAATGGAGAAACATGTGTGTCTTATGCTTCCTTATGTCCAGGTAATGTAAACCATCTCCAAAAGGACACACAGAAAGCTATGAGCACTATCTCTAAAAAGATGAACTCAGTAGCTGGAGGAATGAGATGGGAGGGAGCCTTCACAGTATACCTTGTACACCTTTTGCATCTTGAACCATGTAAATGTACAACTTACTTAAATAATTTATATTAAGTTTTTAGGTTCGTTATAGATTATGTTTAAATGTTAAATGCACTTAGCTTACCATCATCTGGTCACAAAATTTATCATTGAAGGAATTTGGGAAGAGCCTGGTGACTGAAGTCAGACGGTTTACAACGTTCAGCGTCAAGCTCCGATAATCCCCCAGCATCATCAACAAAGGTCGCATATGTGTGTGGATTTGATCTACTTCTATGGTAGCACCTTCTAAAAACTATTAAAAAGGAAAGGTTACAAAGGAAAATAGATAATAAAAATATACTTTATAACAGGATGTAAACTCACAATTGACTAGCAGCAAAGCAAAATTGACTTTTTTTAGAAAAATGAAATATTAACCATATATTCCAGAAATTTACGATGAAATGAAGATGATTAGTTATCTCTGCTTAATATTTTAAAAGGCTCAATGTGACTGAAACAGGTATTACTACAGTCCAGTGCATTTTAACCACAGGGAGACTTCAAGGTATACACACAAGGCACAAGGAGGGACTTGGTGTAGAATTTATGCATGTACACAGTGCACGCACACACACACACACACACGTGTGCATATATATATACACACATGCACACACACACATCCACATATACACACACCACACAAACCTTTCTCATACAGGCTTCTCCAGCCTCCTGGAGTTCACTATTCGTGGAATTAAGGGCCTTGAACAACGCAGCAATGATCTTCTCTCTAGACTGAGGAAGGTAATTGCAGGCAGCAAGTGCATCTTTAGGGAAAGAAATTAACACAATTATTGATCTGAAAAAAATGTATCAACAATTTCTTTGTTTAAAGACTCTGGGGCTTCCCTGGTGGCGCAAGGGGTTGAGACACAACCTATGAAACTCACTGCAGCCACTGCAGCACAAGTTTGATCCCCGGCCGGGGAGGTAACCCACATGGTGCAGCAGACTTCGCCTGCTGCTCCCCTCGCAGCGTATTTCAGTCGATCTGCCTGTTCTGTTCCCCACTCTGTCTCTGGTGAATCCTCTCACCCCCCAAAACTCTGGCCTGTACCCCAGTTCTTGTATGTATAAATAAACCTTTAAAAAAAAAAGCTATTAACCTTTAAAAATAAATAAATAAAAATAAAGACTCATACCAATCAACAAAAAGGCCAAAAACATGGCCTTCTAATCCCATGTTCATTATAATCCAAGACTGAAGTCAAAGACTGCAAGATAGGCCATGATAAATCTTACACTATCCAGACAGAAGAGTTTAAAGGAGAAGAGGCCCCTTTGACACTCTTCCCCACCCCCAAATCCTCACAGGGTGAGCGCATAGTTGACTACAGGCAGAGGCATGCTGAACTAAGAGAGGTCACAGCCTAAAATTCTTGTGACAGGTTGATGAAAGGGAACAGACACACAACTCAGCTTTTCTCCACTATCCATATCTTATTACGCATCTCTCCCAATTATAGTGATTAAAGGCGTTGAAAATGCAAATATTAGTAAAAAAGGGGACACATCTTTGATTGTGCATGTCAATTACAAGGTCATATCCTAGTAAAAATAATGCCGATCTCACTAATGGGGATTCAGGAGAGGTATCCCAAAGAAAGGAACCTCAACGGAGAAGTAAAAGGTTGTCAAACTGCCTTTTTTGTACCTCTCTCTCTCTGCCTTGGCATGTCTTGACCCTTCCAGCCCATCCTAAAGCTCTGCATCTCAGCTCCTCTACCTCTACTTCAAGGATCCTGGCTATTTTATTAAGTGTATAAAGTCAACAAAGCAAGAGACTATGTCTCTTGCTAAAAATACCCCTGATAGTTATTTTTTTAACAAAGAGAAAAAGATAAAGAATGACTTTTTAAAGTACAAGAGCAAGTACTGACCTAATATATTTTCTTCAACTTTGCACTAAACAATGATAAACTAACAGTTCTAATGAAATTCTAGATAGAGGATTCTCAAGTGCTTCTGAATCATATCAAGTCTATGAAGGCTGTAGTACACCTTACTACATATATTCTGATTCTGATGCAAAGTGGCAATATATGAATGGTATGGTAGCTTTCTTAAAACAGAATTATTAGATTCGTAAGAGAACCACAGTTTACTATATATTAAAATCCATAATTTAGAAGAGAATACAAAATCACTTAAACCCCAGCAATCTGTACAATCCACTGACATCTCATTATGTAATTTTATAAACATACAAACATAATTTCTTGATTCCATCTTAAAATGACCACAAAAGCCAGAAAAATTAAGATGACAAAATAGGGTTATGGTCTCCTTTCACTTTCGTACCCAGTTACTTATTCCACATTTATAAACTTACTTAATGCTGCAATTCGTAAAGGGACAAGTGACGGCAAGCTTTTATAACAGGGCAGCTTAGTTAAAGCTGAATCTTCAGCCTCACACAAATTCAACAGCTGCAAAAGACAGAATAATTTAAATTAGCCTGTTCTTACTGTGAAGACACAATAACCTTGTAAGAAGCAGAACATAGAACCTTAACACACACACACACACACAGCAACACAATGAACTGACACTGATAGTCTACAAAACATCAAAATATGATTAAATTTATTCCAAAGCAAAACTCAGCCTCATTAGTGAAATAAATTCTTAAGACACTTTCTCGCTGATACCATAACATTTTCTTCTCTTTAAACAGAGGATCGCTTTATCTAACTGCAAATCCTGTAACAGCAGGTATCAATACACCTCCTGCTTGTTCATAGTTACTTCCAGTGCTTTTTAATATTTAAAAATATTTTAAATATTTTCTGTTTAAATACAGAAAAAGAAAAAGTCATGGACTACCCTGCCAGATACTTTACCATGCCAGTATGTATTTATATATCTAACCTCTAAAATAGCACACAAATGGTGTTCTATTACTACTTTCCCCCCTTCTATTTACATCCTGAAAAAATGCTACAGACTTAAACCATTTTCCTCCCTACTTGGGGGGGAAGGGGGAGAAGATTCTTACCCAGTAAAAGATTTAAAAATAGAAAACCAAACCACCTACCCCATTCTACTCCCAGGAGAAAATCACCAATGTTAGTTACTTGTCAACCTTCGAAAATATTCTTCTTACATACAAACAGTTACATATACACATATATAAATACCTAAATCCATTTATATGTAGAGAGAAAGTTAGTGTCAGATAACTACATAACTACAATGCCAGAGTTCCAAACACGGCTGTGCATCATAATCACCTGGGAAGCTTTCAAATGGCAGATTCACAGGTCAAACCCCAAGTCTACTAAATCTGAATCTTTGGGGGAGACTCAAAAGTATATTTCAAAAGATCTTTAATTTTGATGCAGTTAGCACAGATCAACACCTGCAGAACTTTCCATTTCATTCCCTGGGATTTGTCACTCAACAGGTTGTGGTCTTAAGCTCACTGAAGAATTTTCTACACAGATTAAAACACATCTGTCTCTAGAGCCATCAAAGGAAGTGCTGTCCTCCCATTCTCCAGGGGCTTCCCTGGACCTTTGTCAAAGTAACATTTATACAAGGGATATAACAACATATAAAGAGTAAAGCTAAATCACATGATCAAGTGACCGTCTATATAAGCAAAAGATAGCATTCAAAAAAATCAAGAGGTAAATTTTTCATAACCAGAAATTCAGACTTAGTGTGGATCAGGAAGAATTTGCTTTCCTTTGACTTTTGCCTCAGTTTATTCTGACAATGTCTCTAGAAGTATAACTCATGCCTCATAAAAATCTTTACTTGGTACTGATCACCAGACTATTACTGCATGCTAAGAGTGACTACTCATAATGTGGCTGTATCTACAGTAAAATTTCTGTTCACTGCTGTCGAATAGCATCCACACTGTTGAGTAGCTTAGTGACAAACCCTTAAAAGATGATATCCACCACTGCTTATTATTGTGGGTCAAAGGGCAAATCTGATAAAATTAAACAAAAGGAGAATCAGGCATGACAATGTGGGGGTTAAGATTCAGGCTCGGTGTTCTGTTCCCTGCTCTGTCTCTGGTGAATCCTCTCACCCTCCCGCTCTTCTGGCCTGTACCCGGGTTCTTGTATAAATAAAAAAATAAATCTTTAAAAAAAAAAGAAAAAAGATTCAGGCTTGGAAATAACAGTGTAGGTCCAACCTAAGCTGTACAGCTCATTTGCTCCACGGCTGTACGTGCATAATAAACCCTAAGTTTCCGTTACTGAATCTTCAAAATGAGAATAATCAGTGTCTGTATTTCATGAGGTGCTGTCAGAGCTACACAAGGGCGTTCACATGGGGCTAGTTCTCAGCAGTGCATGGAACATTTAAGTGGTCAGTATATTCAATAAACTGGTACTTGTTTACTGGGCCAGTCTTAATCTGGACACCAGCTAATGAAGAATGATTGACGTAGATGATGTAGCCTTACAACTTTAAGGTCATGAAGAACAAGGTTCTGTAGAAGCGTAATAGTTCCAAGAACACAGAAACACCCACTTTTGGTTGAACATCTCCCGTCCCCGTGCCTACCTTCACACCAATCCCAATGTGACATACGTACACAGAATGCAATGCCAGGCTGTGGCTTGTCACTGCCCATGCTTTCTCTGAAGGCTGCCTACCCAGTCTTTGCTCACAATGACATATTACCAGACACACGTCACCACCATCCATACTACACCACATCACACCACCACCCCCCTACCTCTGTGTAGAACACCTTATGCTCCACCACGTTAAGATCCATTGTGAAAAGTCTGGGCTGCAATGTGGTACAGAATGTGTTCCCCTCCATGAGGCCAATCTGTGCATTGGCAGGCTGGTGTCTCAGCAGATGCTTCTTAGGTGGGACCATATCCTGGAGGACCTGGGAGAAGCAAAGAGGACACACCACTAACCAGCTACTCCTTGAAAAGCAAATACCCGTCATAATATTCTGGAACAATTACCACTCTGAAAGCCAGAAATGAGATGAAAAATTATGACTGCTGTCCTTCCGCTAGGAAAAGGAAAATATGCTTCATACGCTAAAACGGGGTTGTATATGTCAGATTAGTTCCAGAGTAACCACTCTTCAATAACAAGTAACAAGACCAAAACCACCAGACTGGGCTACAGACCCAGGAAACCAACTTTCTATTACCTTAACAATGAACTGACAGTTACTAATGTAGCCATTAATATAAGCACAATGTTATTTATATATTAGAGGTCAAAGAGTATGTATAGTAGTACTTTATGTAAGGGATACAAGTTACAAGCTACATATCATCTATAAGTCATATTTGAAGGAAAAGTCTCAAACATTTTGTTCAAATTATCCTGCTTTTAGTAAAAGAAATCTCACCTCTTTATGGGGTTCCATAATCACTGTCACACTTTTTCCAGTGACCTGGGCCAATACCTGCAGGGAATGCATAGCCTGTTTTCTCACAGTAGAGTTTGGAGAGGTGACTTCTCGAACCAAGTCATGTGTCACATGGTGAAAAGACTTCTCCTGAGCGGCCACGATTTCATCGACTCTCTCCTCATCTTTTAAAGGTGTCGCACACCTCATCAACAACTGCTCCAGGGTGGTCTTTGCCATGGCGACTGCCCCATTGGAGACCTGCAGGCCAGAGACTCCTAAAGTCAGAGACAGGTGATGCTGCCAGTGGCACCCATGGCTACATACACACCACAAAATGCTGCCTGTCCCAAGGGTCTGTGCTCCTCATTCCAGCTCATTTAACAAAACCCTCATAACATAACATCCACTTTGTGTATATTTCAATAGCTTAATCACCCTTTTATTGGTAATTTTTGTCATACAGAAAAAGAAATGTGAATTTAGAGGTAAGCTTTATATTTATCAAACAGAATACGGTGAGCATTGCCAGCTATCTCTCTGAGTTACAGGTTCTTTTTTTTTTAAGGTTTATTTAGGGCCTCCCCTGGTGGCCCAAGTGGTTGAGCGCAGCTTCTGCAGCACTGGTTTGATCCCAGCCGGCCAGCAAGGGTCCCACATGGTGCGGCAGACCTCTCCTATCTTACCCGCTGTTCCCCTCAGCAGTGTATTTCCTCAGTCTGCCTGTTCTGTTCCCCGCTCTGTCTCTGGTGAATCCTCTCATCCTCCCGTGCATCTAGCCTGTACCCTGGTTCTTGTATAAATAAATAAATCTTAAAAAAAAAAAAAAAAAAAACTTGTTTAAAAAAAAAAGATTAATTTTTTTACACAAGAGCAGGGGTACAGGCCACAAGTATGGGAAGTGAGAGGATTCAACAGACAGAGCAGGGAGCAGAATGACCAAAAATACTGCTGAGGGGAGCAGTGGGCGAGACAGGAGAGGTCTGCCATGCCATGTGGGTATCTCCCTGGCCAGCTGGGAATTGAATCTGCGCTGTAGAGGCTGTGGACAGCTTCACAGCGCTGTGCTCAACCTGCTGTGCCACCGGGGAGGCCCTGAGTTACAGGTTCTTAAAGAATCTAACTTCTATAAAAACTTCTGTAGCACATGAAGTATATACCCCTCTGGCAAGAATGAGGAGAGTGCTCTCCTCTACAGATGCACTGGGTTGAAAACTCTGGCCTATGGCTGTTCTTTATCAAGGTAGACAGGTGTTCAGATAACTGGAGAAAGCCCATAGGGGCTCTAAGAGTCCTTTCATTAAAGATATTGTAATGAAATTTGAGTATGTAAGCTACTAAGCTTCAAGGAGAACGTATGTGCAAAACTGTCTCATCACAACACCTGAAAGAGCATGGTTAGGTTTGGGCCACCCATTACCTACCTCTCCTGTTAAGTCCATCATGACAAAAAGAAGTGCTTTGAGGAATGTCTGCTGGTTCTGGAGAACCCAAGTGAGAGGCAGTCGCTCCATGAGGAACTTAATGGACACCACACCACCCAGCTTTGCATACCAGGCCTGTTCATAACAACAGGCACACAAGCGTTCCACAATGTAAGAAAACAGAGGGAGTTGGCATGCCTGGAGAGAAAAACCAGCACACAAACTATAATGTGTTAATGCTATTCTCAAACTCCTAGTTTCTAAAACAACTACCCTCTGGTACCCTCCTCAATCCTTACCCTCTCCTTTGAGCCCAGAATGATACTGGCAACATCAAATATCACAGCTAGGGCCACCTCCCCAATCTTACAAAGTTCCTTTTCTTCATATGCCATACAAATAGCTATTGCATCAATAAGAACCAAAGGATCCATTCCTTTCGACCCATTTTCTTCACTGTGAAACATGGCTGTGCTGGGCTGGCTGCCCACCTGATAGCAGGGCAGCAAGAAAGGACCTGGAAGGAGAGGCAGAGGCATGTGAAAAATTATAAATTTTATTTACATAGCCTTCCTATACACAACCAATAAATCTGATGAAGAAGAAATCAAGAAAACCATCCCTTTTATTATTGAAACAAACAAAAAAAATCAAATACTTGGGAATAAACCTAACACAAAAGGTAAAGGACGTATACAAAGAAAACTATAAAACACCATTAAAAGGGCCTCCCCGGTGGTGCAGCGGTTGAGCACTGGGTTGCGAAGCTGCCAGCAGCTTCTGCAGTGCCGGTTCAATCCCCAGCTGCTCCCTGGCCACCGGAGGAGGATACCACATGGCGCGCAGACCTCTCCTGCCGCCCGCTGCTCCCCTCAGCAGTGTACTTCGGTCCTTCTGCCTGCTCTGCTCCCCACTCTGGTGAATTCTCTCACCCTCCCACACTTCTGACTGTACCCAGTGCTTGTATAAATAAATAAATCTTTTTAAAAAAAGGCTCTTTAAAAAAAAAAAAAAAACCATTAAAAGAAATAGAAGACGACACAAAGAAATGGAAAGACATCCCCTGCTCACAGATTGGTAGAATTAACATTATCAAAATGGCCATCCTACCAAAAGCAATTTACAGATTCAATGCTATTCCAATAAAAATTTCAATGACATTCTTCAAAGAAATAGAACAAATATTGATGGAATTCATATGGAATCACCAAAAACCCAGAATAGCCAAAGCTCTCCTGAAAAAATAAAAAAGAAGGGACTGGAGGCATCACACGTCCAGATTTCAAACTATACTACAAAGCCATAATAATCAAAACCGCATAGTATTGGAACAAGAACAGACACACAGAACAATGGAACCGAAAAGAAAATCCAGAAATAAACCCACAGAATTATGGTCAACTAATCTTTGACAAAGGAGCAAAGAATATGCAAGGGAGCAAAGAAAGTTTGTTTAGTAAATGGAGCTGGGAAAACTGGGTTGTTACATGCAAAAGAATGAAGCTTGACTACTATCTCAAACCATGCACAAAAACCAACTCAAAATGGATTAAAGAACCAGACATAAGACCTGAAACTATAAAATATATAGAAGGAAATACAAGCGAAACACTGCATGACATACACCTCAGCAACATCTTTAAAGACTCATCACCCATAACGAAGGCAAAGATAAACAGCTGGAACTATATCAAATTAAAGAGCTTCTGTACAGCAAAAGAGACAGTAACCAAAACAGAGACACCCCACCAACTGGGAGAAAATTTTTGCACACAACACTAATGATAAAGGACTGATCACCAAAACCTACAAAGAGCTGATGAGACAACAAAAAACAAAGTAAATAATCCAGTCAAAAAACGGGCAGAAGAGCTAAAAAGGAACTTCTCCAAAGAGGAAATGCAAATGGCCAACAGGCATATGAGAAAATGCTCAGCATAACTTGTAATCAAGGAAATGCAAATCAAAACTACAATGAGACACCATCTTACACCAGTGAGAAAGGCACATATTAAAAAAACCAGCTACAACAAATGTTGGCGAGGATGTGGAGAAAAAGGAACTCTTCCGCACTGCTGGTGGGAGTGCAAACTGGTCCAACCACTATGGAAAACTGTGTGGAGATTCCTCAACCTGCTCAAGATGGAGCTTCCATATGATCCAGCAATTCCACTCCTAGGTATTTACCCAGAGGACACAGAATCATTAATTCAAAAAGGCACCTGCACCCCTATGTTTATAGCAGCACTATTTACAACAGCTAAGCTATGGAAACAACCCAAATGCCCAAAAATAGATGACTGGATCAAGAAGATGTGGTACATATACACAATGGAATATTACTCAGCAATCAAAAAAATTAAACTCATGCAATTTGCAGCAACATGGATGGAGCTGGAAGGAATCATGCTCAGCAAAATAAGCCAGAAAGAAAAAGAAAAATACCGGATGGTCTCACTCATAGCAGGAATTTAGAAAACCTAAATAAGGGACCAGGAAAAAGACTAATTATAATAAAGTAAAAATCAAAATCAACAAGCAACTATGGACCAGAGACACACTACGGCAGGGTGGGGAGGGAGGAGGGAGGATTTGGGGTCAAAATAAGGGGGGTGGGGTAGGAATTGTATGGGGAATATAGCCAGGATGAAGATGCATACACTGTGCAAAGATGAAAAATGATGTAAAAATATATATTAAAAAAAGGGGGGGGGACTTTTATTTACACAAACACTCTTGTTCCACAAATTGTAACACTATCTCATTTTTTACTTTGAGTTTAGAAACTCAATAGAATACTACTCAACAATCAAAAGATAATCTCATGCCATTTGTGGCAACAAGGATGGAATTGGAAGGGATTATTCTAAGCGAAATAAGCTACAAGGAGAAATAGAAATAGAACGGTTTTACTTACATGTGGAATATAAAGAAATAAAGAATCAAAGACAAATTTAAAAACCAACCCTAGAGGGCCTCCCCTGGTGGCGCAGCGGTTGAGCGCTGGGCTGCAAAGCTGCCTGCAGCCTCTGCAGCACCGGTTTGATCCCCGGCCCCAGGCAAGGGTCCCACATGGCACGCAGACCTCTCCTGTCTTGTCCGCTGCTTCCCTCAGCAGTGTATTTCGTCAGTCTGCCTTTTCTGTTCCCCACTCTGGCTCTGGTGAATCCTCTCACCCTCCCGCGCTTCTGACTGTACCCAGTGCTTGTATAAATAAATACATAAATCTTAAAAACAAAAACAAAAAAACAACCCTAGAAAGCTGACCACAGCATCCAGGAGAGGAGGGAGAGAACACAGCAGATTGAGGGAGAATACAATGGACCATGGTGGAAGATTATGGGTGTTTTGGTGGTGGGAGAACTAAGGTTACCGCAGCCGTGGGGAGAAATCCTGTGTTATGAAAACATAAACAAGGATGTAAAATAATGGTTCTTAATTATAAAATATAAAAAATGATAAAAACAGTATGAAATTCAAATGGAGGAAACCCTGTTAATTTAGACCAACTTCTGTTCAACTGTGACTATTTGTAAACTAAGGCTATTTTTCTGAACAGTTTGTGTTATACACTCTTTTCAGGTTTTCTTAATCAGAACTCAAAAATATATTAGTTTAAAATGAAAACCAGTAAGATATTGTCTTTAAAAGAAAAGCATTAGATGAGCTACGGGGGACAGGAAATAACAATCCATGGGAAGGACCATGGATTATGTTCTGGAAATTCCTGACATACAAACAACAGTCAGGAGCAATAGCATCCAGCACATCCAGGTGGAGCGTAGTCTGCCAGCAACTATTAATTATTGCCTTGCAAGCACCCAGCACTGGGTGAGACGGAAGCCATCAAGAAGCTTACAGATGTGCTGGAAAGATGTTAAAAGACGAAAGACTGAGAAACAATCTAAGCCTAAAACTGTATAGTACTGACTGGTCATGCCAAAAAGAGTAAAAAACTGGTAAGTTCTATGTGTTCTGCAATTTCAGAGAAGGCTGCTGAAGATCTTAGGGTGAGAAACTTTGAGAACACAAACTGGAGCAGTGCTACTCAAGTGTGGTCTACTGACAACACCTGTCTGGTCTGCAAACTAACTGCTAATAGTCTGGGAAGAGTTGAAAAAATTGAGTAATGTTCAGAAACTTGCATATAGCAATTGCCAGTACCATGGCATTTTTGTCTTTTACAAAAGCCTCAGTCTGTAATGGATTAGAAATACAAAAAAAGGAGACAAACAAAATTGGTCCCTTACTACCCAAAGCCTGAGAACTTCAGCAAAGGCAAGAGCCACTCCAGGCAGAGACCCAGAGCACACCACCAGGAGCTAGCTGCAGTGGAGAGAGGAGGATGGGGCTTTGAAAACAACACTCCAAAAGGGAAGATCAGTGGTGAGGTAAACATAAATTGTTCCTCTGTTTATACACACAGTGTTCAAAGGCACTTAGTCCCCCTCAGAATAGGTTAAAATAGGGCCTCCCCGGTGGCGCAATGGTTGAGCGCTGGGTTGCGAAGCTCCCTGCGGCCTCTGCAGCGCCGGTTCGATCCCTGGCTGCTCCCGCCCACCAGAGGAGGGTCCCACATGGCGCGCAGACCTCTCCTGCCGCCCGCTGCTCCCCTCAGCAGTGTACTTCGGTCCTTCTGCCTGTTCTGCTCCCCGCTCTGGCTCTGGTGAATTCTCTCACCCTCCCACGCTTCTGACTGTACCCAGTGCATGTATAAACAAACAAATAAATAAATAAAATACGTGCCTCTTTAAAAAAAAAAAAAAGAATAGGTTAAAATATTAAATTGAGTGTTTTTTTTAATAGATTAAAAGTGGTGAAGTTTTCATGTTAATACATCATCCATCACTGAAACAGCAATTATCTTTACTAACGCAATAAATTACATTAGAAAATTAGAAAATGAAAGCCTAAAACAAATCATCCATATTCAGTCTCTCTGAGATACTACAACCAAGTATTTGAAATGCCCTAAATAAATCCAGTAATATTCACTTGCCCTCCATGGCACTTGCACTCACCACACTGTTGGGCAACTGCCACCATGGTGTAGTGGCGAATCAAGCTGGCCACAAAGGGCAGGGCACTGGGCCGGAGGTCTTTAATGACAGCAGACATGAAAGCCCCAGTCAGAGCCTGCTCAAACGTCTTCCGGGCTGGGGTGTCTTGGGCTTTGTAGCGATGTGATATGATGACATTAGGTATAGTCTTTTCTGTAAAGCTGAAAGACAAAGTTAAATTCATCCTAAGGACACCAAACCCATGAACTGATGATTCTCTTATAACTTATTTTTCAGCTTGTCCATTTTCTTCTTGCTCAGATAGGCTCAAGTGCATTGAAGGTATTTACAAATAGTAGCACATTCCACATTTTCACAATTATTTTCTATTTTAACAAAGTTGATGTTTAATTTTGATCTTATATAGTTAAATCAAATATAATTAAATAAGTAAGAGAAGTAACTCAAAGATCAAAGAGATGAAAAAAGCTCTATCTTAAAAGTTCTATACACCAGCTACATATGCTGAAAAAATCACAGCACTGGTACAGAATCAAAGAGGCTTGTCAATCTAACTGAAAAGGCATTTACTGCTAATCACATGAGATTAAATAAAACCTAAGAAGGCAGTGTCAAGGAAATAACAAACACAAGGATAAGAAACAGTCAATAGTATTTTAAAAATTATTAGCTTCTTCCAATCTTTAATAGCTCCAGATAATAGAAATTTCTTTCTATGACCAGAAACCTGCTTCATTCTAATTTTTGCCCCCTAACTCTGGTTGTGCTTCCAACTACATGGATGTCCTTCATTTCCACATGCCTGGATGTCCTTTGTTTCCACATGCAACATCTTTAATCAATGCAAACTGAGTAAACACCTCAGTATTTTCAGCTCTTACCAGCTGGTGACAATGCTTTTTGAAATTTCACTGGGGTCAAATGCCCAAAACAGATACCTGATTTCTACTATCTCCCTCAAGTGCTATTCCCCAATGTCCCTGACACCACAGCAATGGCACCTATGACTTAAGCCAAGAAAACCTGCTATCAGAGTAAGTTAGCCTTTCCATCCCTTCTGTGATACTCAGAGCAAAATCTAGTCTTCATCTCTTCCTCTCAAGTCCTGCCCTACCCATCTGTCCCTCTCAATCTGCTCCAGTGACACCGGCCTCTTGTTATGCTCACCAGAGGCATTCCCTGAGATTGATGTGAACTTTCTCTTGATATTTTCACAATATCCTCCCTTCAAACAGGTATCCTAATCCCTATTTAATGTCACCTACTCAGAGAGAACTTTCCTGATTGTCCTGTTTTTTAAAAATGCCCTTTTCCCATGTTATTCCCTTAGCCTGATAAACAACATTTGCTGCTACCTGAAATATATTGATATATATTTGTTCCTCTTGCCTGTTGTCCAGCTCCTTCACTAAAATATAGGTTCCCTGAAGGCAAGGATTTAGTCTTGCACACCAATCTTGAGCAGTACCTGGCACAGAAGGTACTTAACCTACGGCAACAGTGACGACAGACCCTGAATACAGAGAAGGCAGAAAGTGAAGGAGGATGCCTATCCACACGACTCACAGACACTGGGTTTTTTTTGTTGTTGTTTTTTTTAAACATTTATTTATTTATTTATTTATTTATTTATTTATTTATTTATTTATTTATTTATTTATTTATTTATACAAGCACTGGGTACAGTCAGAAGCGCGGGAGGGTGAGAGAATTCACCAGAGCCAGAGCGGGGAGCAGAGCAGGCAGAAGGACCGAAGCACACTGCTGAGGGGAGCAGTGGGCGGCAGGAGAGGTCTGCGCGCCATGTGGGATCCTCCTCCGGTGGCCGGGGAGCAGCCGGGATAGAACAGGCGCTGCAGAAGCTGCTGGCAGCTTAGCAACCCAGCGCTCAACCGCTACACCACGGTGGGGGGGGGGGGGGAGGAGGCCCTCACAGACACTGGTTTTGTCTGTGAAAGAATGGAGGTCAAAATGTGAACAACTACACAGCAACTAGAAAAAAAATACAGGAGGGCCTCCCCTGGTGGCGCACCAGTTGAGTGCTGGGCTGCCAGGCTGCCCACAGCCTCTGCAGCGCCGGTTCGATCCCCGGCCGCTGGCAAGGGTCCCACATGGCACGGCCGACCTCTCCTGCCGTGCCCGCTGCTCCCCTCAGCAGTGTATTTCGTCAGTCTGCCTGTTCTGTTCCCCACTCTGGCTCTGGTGAATTCTCTCACCCTCCCGTGCTTCTGACTGTACCCAGTGCTTGTATAAATAAATAAATAAATAATCTTGGAAAAAAAAAAGAAAAGAAAAAGAAAAAAGAAAAAAGAAAAAAAATACAGGAGAGTATCTTCATGACTGCCATAGAGGAGACTGTTTCTTACAAATTACATATAACAAGCACGAAAGAAAAAGGAAAAAGATATAAATTTGACCATGGTAAAATCATTAAGTTTTTGTTAACCAAAAATTCTTAAAACTGTAGAAAAATGACAAACAGGAAGCAATGAGTAAATTTAGCAGAGATATCTTGGTCTCTGAATCATTTCTGAAGAGTCTTCACTCCTTTTAGAGAGAATGATGATTCCAAGGCTATGGATAAGAAGGTACAGGTAAACCAGAAATTCAACTTGTAGAGCCAAAAAGCCATGTTATAAACCAGTGTTACAATAAAAACTGGGTTTTACCTATTCTGCATTTCTTACTGTTGTTTGAGTTTCCCATATTTTTCTCTCTGCATGCATTCTAGAAATTTCTTTTGACTTATTTCTTTTCTTTAAAAAAAAATTTTTTTTTAAGATTATTTACGCATACAAGTACTAGGGTAGAGGCCAGAGGTGTGGGGGGTGAGAGGATTCACCAGAGACAGAGTGAGGAACAGAAAGGAGGAATGACTGAAATACACTTCTGGGAGCAGCGGGCGAGTCAGGAGAGGTCTGCTGTGCCAGGGATCAAACTCGTGCTGCAGTGGTTGTGGATAGCTTCATAGGTTGTGTCTTAACTCCTTGTGCCACCAGGGAAGCCCTTGACTTATTTTTTTATCTAAAGGGTCTCTCTCCCTCTTTTAAACTGCTTGGATAGTTTCTTTTTTTTTTCTTTTTTAGATTTATTTATTTATACAAGAATGGGGTACAGGTCAGAGGCGTTGCGAGGGTGAGAGGATTCACCAGAGGAGCAGAACAGGCAGACTGATCAAAAACACTGGTTAGGGGAGCAGCAGGTGAGACAGGAGAGGTCTGCCGCACCATGTGGGTTTCACCCTGGCAGGGCAGGAATCGAACCCGTGCTGCAGAGGCTGCAGACAGCTTCACAGCACAGCGCTCAACCCACTGTGCCACTGGGGAGGCCCTGCTTGGATAGTTTCTATTTCTTGGTATAATTTTAAGTTTATCTTCACTTTAAACATAGTAAGCATTGTTAAAATCTAATTGTTAAGATTCTAATATTTAAAGTCTATCAGATATACTGCTTTCTGATGATTACACTGGTTCTTGGGCATATTGCCTTATTTCCTTGTACAATGGTTATCTCTGACTACTCTCTCTCTCCAATGTGCTTTTAACAACTGAGTATTCACTATTAACTCAGTATTATTTTGGTTGCTGTGTGAAATACAGTAACTTAGAGGAAAAATCCTTCCTTAGAACTTATAATACAGAAACATGATATACACTCATAATTATAAAGATCACTGCATAAGATCATAGCCTTCAGTGGTAAGAGCAAACCAACAAACAAACCAAGCAAACATTACATGACAAATACTTAGGAAAGAAAGGATTAGTATCGTCTAGAAAAGCAAAAGATCCATCAAGTGCCTATCATGTTCTAGGTACCATGGCTATAAGAGGAGCAAAAGGGGGAGAAAAGGCCATCATTGCCTTTTATTCTTGAAGTCTAGAGCCAAACAAAGAGACAGTAAATATAGACTGTGACTGAAATAAAGTCTTTTTTTTTTTTAAAACATTTTAAAAGGACCAGGTTTATTAGGAAAAGTAAAGAAAATGATGCTTACACAGATACAAGCAGGCAAGAAGAGCTGCCTCTGAAAGGGACAGGTTTGCTAAAAGATACAACTGCATAGACACAGTCTTGGCACAAGAGATGCCTGAAGTCTAACTTTCAAGCACCCAAGTTCTTCCTCCCACTTTCTCTAAAATGCAACAGAAGACTAACTAGACACATAATATGCCATCTTCCTGACCTGAAGGTCATTACACTAAAATCTGAGAGGATCCTCTCTACCCCTAATTCCTGAAATAAGTTACATGTAATGGCAGGCAATTAAGTCTCCAACATACTTGGGGTGTGCAAGGAGCTGGTAAAGAGCGTGTTTATTATCTTCCAGACTCATCATTGCCACCAGGAAGCACTTGATCACTTCCCACGCCTGCCTCCGGTAGTAGGGCTCAGTGTTGGCACTTTTCAGGCAGTCCAGAGCAGTTTCAATGGCCTACAACAAAGAAACACAAAAACTATAGTTTATAGTGAAATTACATGATTTGGAAGAGCTTGAATTGAAAACATATGCAGAACCTAAAAGAATCTTAATGCTTATTTTCAGCACTGTGGGCCGATTAAAGCTAGCAGGTATCCAACAAATGAAACCTCCAGAGAAGGCAGAGGTTTTTGAAATAGAAATTGCATGGTTCAAATTAAAAGGTAAAATGGAGTTTACTAATTTGGTGCTTAACAGCCAATGGGAGATTCCAGAATTAAGTGATCCTGAAGGCCTCCTGTAGTAGAACTTGCTGGATTAAACTAGATTCTATGCCATCTACACAAATCAAGCCTTCATGAAAAGAAATATGTATTTTCTCCAGATCACATACTTTCTTGTGTCAAGGATCAAAACTATAAGGTGACTTTCCTATACTTGTATTAAATTCCCTGTTTAAAAATGAAGGATTGTTTTTTTTCTCCCCAGAAAACCTACAAGGCTATACCATACATTGTATCCATTTCATTTCAATTAGGTTATCTAGGAAGTCAGGGGATACATAATCACATACACAAATAACCTGAAGTATTCACCAGCTAAGATATTAATCTTAGTGATAATTGTATACATACGAGTCAATTAAAGATATATTCAGGCTGTGTGAGGAAAGAGTGTGAGGCAACAGGCCCAGAGGGACTACCCTCCATACCCAGCATGAGGGTACATAGCACACATGCACGCACAGTCACAGAGCGTGATGACAGCTCCTTAGTACATCGACCCCAGCTTGGGAGTCTGATTTCTTCTAAAGAATCAAAGAACTGTTTTTCTTCTATTGCCTCTGATCTGGCCAGAAATAGGTAAATCATGTGAGGATAATTTTAGAAATGTGTTTTTTCAAAATCAAAGTAAGTGATGAGCTCTAATTATGCATCAACAAGAATAAGGGTTAGTAAGTATGCCACAACAGAAATTACTTAAATGGCGATTCACTAGCACTCAGCTTGGTCATGCTGATCACGTCCTTCACCTAGTAGGCACCTTCAGCTCTGCAGGGCTGTACACCAGCTCTTAGGAGGTTGGCCGCTGGGGAAGGAGCGCCATGAGCACTGGACAGTCTATAAGGGTCAGGAAAACTATGGGAACCAAACGTTAGTACTTGGTTTGTACCATATTTTAGCTGCTTTTGGGAAAAACTACTATTAAAGAGATTTTCTTGCTGTTAGTTTTTATCTAATACCAGCCTTGCCACTAATTATCATTAACTTAAGGACATTACCTAAAATGTGGGAATGTGCTACAGATAAAAGATGTTCACTATAGTAATTTTCAATGTAAGACAGTGAGAAATTAAATTATCAATATCCTACTAGGATAAAAAGAGTTTATTTGGCAAATATTTTGATAAAGGTTAGGGGAAAAGCTAAGATCTCACCTCTGCGGTCTGGAGAAAACAGCATGCTCTATGATTAGGGACAGAGAGAGGCAAAGGTAATGCATAGAGCTTGACAAACTAAGGAAGGTGGTTTAGAAATGACAACAGATCCAGAATGACATTCACACATGATATCCTTCCTCCCAAATGTATTAATCAAGTCTAGTTTAAAAAAAATAAAAGATAAATGTGCCAAACTCTTTAATGCAATACAAGAGTACAGATCTGAGTTAGCCTGAGCAAAGGGAGGGCTTTGAGTCACTCCAGAATATGATCACTGGTTTAGGGCCAGATTGTAAGGAGTCAGGCTTGCTAAAATGACCAGTTACTCAAGACACACTCAAAGGGATAGATAAATGTTCTGAAAAGACATGGTAATGAAGGCTGTATCACAAGATAGGAAAAGGCTATATAAATAAGGGTGTAAAGCCATTGTGACAACACAGATTAAAATTAAGAAAACAGTATGTGTTAGAGCTTCCATGTGATCCCGCAATTCCACTTCTAGGTATTTACCCAAAGGACACAGAAACATCAATTCCAAAGAGCACCTGGCACCCTATGTTTTAGGAGCACTGTTTACAACAGTAAGCTTTGGAAACACCAAATGCCCAAAAATAGATGACTGGATCAAGAAGATGTGGTACATATACACCATGGAATATTACTCAGCATTCAAAAAAGATAAGCACATGCAATTTGCAGCAACATGGATGGAGCTGGAAGGGATCATGCTCAGCGAAATAAGCCAGAAAGAAAAGAAAAATACCAGATGGTCTCACTCATAGCAGGAATCTAGAAAACTTAAATAAGGGACCAGGAAAAAGAATAACTATAAGAAAGAAAATATCAAAATCAACAAACAACTATGAACCAGAGACACTCTATGGGGTGTGGGGGGCGGGGAAAGGAGGGCTTGGGGTCAAAATAAGGGGTTGTAATTGTATGGGGAATATAAAAATAAAATTTAAATAAAAAAAAACAGTATGTGTGACAGAGGACTAGGAGGGGTCAACAGGTGAAAGGGAAGTTTTCAATAAGGATAAAGCAAAAGTAATAAATGGGACCCTCTGGTAAGAGTTTGAAGACATAGTTTGTTCACTGATTACACAATAAAACAAGCATTAGAGGGCTTACAAAGAAAACCAAAGAGTTATCCATAGTGGGCAAAGGAGTCGAAGGGACGTAGTCGTCTGGAATAACCATGGGCAAAAATGAGGAATCTGGAAGTGACGGCACAGCAGACAAGGATGGAATTAACTTGAATTCCCAATGACACTTGAAGTAAAGTCTCTTGAGCATCAAAACAGACCACATTCAAGGCAGGATAAGCAAGGGATCACCTTACAGTACATTGGGGAAGATGGAATTGCTCATAAGTCAAAAGTTCATGGGAGCAACACCCCTCACTGGCTTCGTGGTATTACAAAGCCCCCTGGCCAACCAATAAATCACCAATAAATTATACAAATTATTGAATACCTTTACAGCAGAATAACAGTAACTATTTTAATTAAACAAGTACTATGTGCAGGCATTGATTTAAGTTATGTTGTTCTAGAAATTCCCTTCCCAAAAAGAACATTTACCTATTTTCAAATGCAAGTTAACTTTCTTATAAAATGCAACTTATAGTATCTTTAAGAAGCTCCCGAAGACTTCCAAATTTACCTTCTCCCATTGGAAGCTGAAGAGATGCTTTACAATCAGAAAATTCCACTGTAATACTGGGGCCTTGAACTTCAGTCACAACATAGTGCAGCTTCTGGGATTCCTTTAACATCTTCCTATTACTGCACCAATTTACCCCAGTACACGATAGGCCACATGAGAAATGCTATCAGCAGGATTCCGCAAAGTGCGCCATAAAGCCTAAAAATAACATGCTTTCATTCAAATCTTTTGAAGGTAATGCATTCACAAGGTTCTCAAGTCAAAATTCAGACTTTGTAAAATATTATACAGCAAAAAATCTTCCCCCCACCTGTTTCCCAAACACACAGCTATCCTTCTTTGACAAAACCAATGTTACGAGTCTTACGTATCCTTACAGAGAATTTTAACGCCCTTACAGAAAAGTCATATACATTACAAATATAATATTCTATCATGCCCCTAAATACAAATAACATCATATTATAAATACTGCAGAGTTGAAGAGCAAGACAACTA